GTCATTTCACGTTGTTGTTTTGCAGAGGACGACAAAGAAATGTACCAAGATTCAAAACGCACTTGCACAGCCATTGTTCTGCTCATTAAACCTTTCGTTTGGTGTCGCTCTCGTCGCCGTCGCCGTCGCCGTCGTGGTTTGCCAAGGGCCAATTTACACGGTACGACTTTGTCGCATGCGACAAGCTTACGACAGGTCTACGACATGACTTAGGACCATTTACAGGCGCACGACATTTTCACTTACAAAATTAAATATGCAAAAGTTTGCACCGGGATTTTCGGAGCGAAAGTTCTAGCAAACGGTAAACAAATATTTTAGCTGTCCTGCGCTTTGAAAAATCTTTCTTACGAGACGTTTTTCGCTTTAATCCGTTCACTACTAGCCCTTTTCAAAAAACGACTTCATGTGAATCAGTCAACAACAACTTCGTCCACCGTTTTGAAGCAAGAAAACTTCTCCTTCGTCCCCGACTTAACTTTTCTATCGATTTCGGCTACGATTGTCGCAGCATTTTCAAACATGTTTTAAAATCCTACGACATTTTTTTTTGACGTAAACCATAGTCGTAAGCGAGTTGTAGGTTTGATTTACATGAAACAATTCGTGTCGTAGGCCTATCGTAAGCTTGTCGCATGCGACAAAGTCGTACCGTGTAAATCGGCCCTAAAGCTCCCTAATATCGATACGGTGCAACTTTTAACCGAGTTTTACCAAATCGCGGGCGTAATTACTAATTAAATTCTGTACAACTCAAGTAAAATGAAAGTGGTACACGCAAAATAGGAATGTTTGGATGAACTCCTCAATGTATGCAAACTTTGAATAATAAACTTTCTAGCAGTCTTGTCATGAGATGTCATGGCGAATATAAAAATATTTTAAAAAGAAATCACCTCAAGATATATAACGTTTACTTGCTTACTTTCTTGTTACTTACTTGCTCACCTATTATATTTAGCAACTATATCAACTTTACACGGCCTAGAGTATTTTAGATCATGGCAAGCAGGTAGCAAAAAAAATAATAATTCAAATAAGTAAACTGTAGGGTAATAACAAGCTGTTAAAAAGATAGCTGAGCAGGTCAGTCAAGCAAGGTATCTCAAACGTATGGAAAGTCCACTTTTAAAAAGGCCAAAAAACGAGACACATATACATCGCTTGGATAAAATTCGAAAGAATCTATGGCGTAATGGTGCCATAGTATCATAAGCTCTATCCTTCCTTTGGACAAAATGAATTGCTTGGTTCCGCACGAAGACTCGTTTTGGCACAGAGGCTAAAGGTAATGGCCTATTTGATTAATATTGCCAGTTGCTAATCTCTCTCTGTGCCTGAAGACACTCGCTTGACATTTAGAATGATCTGTATAGTCCAGTTGCAAAATTATATGGCAACAAATTGAAATTATAGTATATGCCCTCAACGTTTTAGATTTTCCTGCCTTCCCCCTGGCCTTCTTCAGTCGTCTCGTGCTAAGCCAACTCCCTCCCCTTCCCTTTCTAAAAGCACGCTTTAATTCCTGAAAGTCTGTGAGATTCAAATGTTTTAAAAACCAAAATTGCTGGTATTATGATTTTTTACACAAAATCATCCGTGTATTTATTACTTACAGATTCACTAGTGTACAGCCGAGTGATATATTTTTCATATTTTATTTTAGCACTCAGCACTAACAGCAGTTTTACCCATGCCAACACTTTGATCTCTTGAATCAAACTTGGGCCAGTTTACAGAAGACAAGTCTTCCTTCGTGTTCTTCAGTAACTACACTTACAATTTACACTTATTCCGACAATCAGAGACAGTTCCTGATCAAAGATCTTAATTCTCATTAAAATACTCACTACATCTAAGTCTTACATTTTTATCTAAATAGACACCCGATTTCGTCAAAAAACTGACCACGAACAGAACAAAAGTCTGAATCGAAAAGCCAATTGAGATCTGCGGACGGGTTTTCAGTACAGTAAATGAAATGAGTGATAGGTTGTATTGTTTTTGTAAGACTGAATAAGAAGTCTAAAAGAGTACAAATTGTGAACTAAAAGTATTTTGTTTGAGCGTGTCTTCTACAAAAAAGCAAAGCAATCAACAAGTTAAACATTTATCTCCTGCTTCAGATTCGTGTCTTTCAAGAATCTAATGTTCCTCAAAAGTAAGTGAGTAAGTAACTTGACGCCTGTTGTCCCACGCGTACAGCACTTTTTCTCTGGGGTTGTAATCCACCATGGAGTTGTAGCCGTACTGGTTTGTGAACTGTATGTTGGGGTTCCACTGTTTGCCTGTCTTGGTGTCGTAAGCAAAGTTGATGGTAGTGGACTTGCTGTTATAATCGTCGATACAGTAGATCACTCCACAGACCACAAATGCATTGCCCATCGATCTCATTGGTTCTGTACAAAACCAAAAAAGAGAAACACACCGGCTTAGTCGGATGCAGTCATTTTCTCTGTGAAAAACAGCTTTTAGAAGCTCTCTATTACATAAACTGCACTTTTTTAATAAGGATTTTACAACTGATTGCCACATATAAAATATACCATAATTTTGCGTGTGAAGTTATAGATGACCCCATGATTGCTACAGTCTTTGTTTTGTTGAGATTTTTCGCTTTTAAGGGGAAGCT